CTTCTCACTCTGCTGAAGACCAGACTCCACGCAGTGTGACAGAGTCTTCTCACTGTGCTGAAGACCAGACTCCACACAGTGTGACAGAGTCTTCTCACTGTGCTGAAGACCAGACTCCACACAGTGTGTGACAGAGTCTTCTCACTGTAGGGGTGAGGGGTGCCAGCCCTGCCCTTGTACCCCACCTGTGCTGTCACAGCTTCACCCCTGTCATTCAGACTTCAGCTGGGGCTCCTTTACCACAGACCTGCAGGGGTCAGCGGCGCTGTTCTGGGTTAATAATAATATTAACAATTCCTCACACTTATATAGCACTTTTGCTGGACACTCCACTCAAAACGCTGTACGGGTAATGGGGATCCCCTCCACCCCCACCAGTGTGCAGCCCCACCTGGATGATGCTCCAGTCCTCTCCCCACCAGCTCTCAGTGGGGAGGAGAGCAGAGTGATGAAGCCAGTTCAGAGAGGGCGGTTATTAGGAGGCCATGATTGGTAAAGGCCAGGGGGGGAATTTGGCCAGGGCACTGGGGTAACACCCCTACTCTTTGAGAAACGCCCTGGGATTTTTAATGACCACAGAGAGTCAGGACCTCAGTTTTACGTCTCATTCGAAGGACGGCGCCTGTTAACAGTCTAGTGTCCCCGTCACTATACTGGGGCATTAGGACCCACACAGACCGCAGGGTGAGCGCCCCCTACTGGTCCCTCTAACACCTCTTCCAGCAGCAGTCTTAGTTTCTCCCAGGAGGTCTCCCATCCAGGTACTGGCCAGGCTGCTGGGTTAGTGCCGGGCCTCCCTGTCCGAGCTTTGGAGCTTTCTGAGTCGTTACCATGGGAGACAAGTTGTCGCCAAAGAGGTGTAAGCTGCTGACAGTTGCTCCTGCCTGCTTATCTGTCTTTGTGATATAAGCAAACAAACACCGCATGGGTAGAGCAGCAGCTCTGTGGCTGAGGATCTGCACCTGTGGCTGGGAGGTTGCCAGTTTGAATCCCGCGGCTAGCTGGCACAGGAATCCTACTCCGTTGGGCCCCTGAGCAAGACCCTTCACCCCAACTGCTCCAGGGGTGCTGTATAAATGGGTGACCCTGCACTCTGACCCCAAGCTTCCCTCCCTGTCTGTGTGTCTCATGGAGAGCAAGTTGGGGTATGTGAAAAAGATGAATTCCTAATACAAGAAATTGTATATGGTCAATAAAGTGATCTCTCGAAACAACCAGGCTCTCCTATGCACAGGTTTGATTTCATCCAAAGGGTGATAAACTCGCTGCAGCCACAAGGTGTCACTGTAACACATGTTTTCCCATTCTTCTTATTTTTTTCCTCTTTTTTGGTACTAAACCTGCAGGTGAGCGAAGGCGTCTCATCCCAAGTGACCAAGATGTCCTCCCTCTATTTGTTCGGCATTTCTCACATTCTCCTGGCAGAAATATCCCTCCTTTCGCACTTGTCAACACTGTCTTTAAGTGTCACCCTAGTGTCGGTGTTAAAATGAAACACAGGTTTGCTCAGGGTTAACAGATCCTGTTTTAACACAGACAAGGGCATTTCTATTGACGACGTTCTGGTAGGGAGCTGTGTGAGCATGCGTTGGCTACAAAGAAACAAGTATAGGTTCATTCCACACCGAACAATAAAGGAGAAACAGCATGTTTACTGTAGAGCCTTCTTCTGGGGTCTGTCTCGGCGTGGAATTGCTATTTATGGAACAAGAGGTTTATTCAGGGCTGTAAAGAGAAGAAAAACAACACCCGAAGAAGGCTCCACAGCCGAAACGTCGTGTTGTCTTTCTTCTCTCTTCAGCCTGAGATAAACCTGTTACTTGTTCCTTTGCAGCCTACCCCTGCTGACCCCACTACCCACCCGTTTTGCTATTTATGTTGAGGACCGTTCACCTGATATGAGAAGCGACACGAAAAAATTATCCTGACACGAACGATTGGCCCTTGTCTTCAGGTGATACTGTGTGTGGTGGACTTTTCCAAGGCCTGCGGGCTCAAGCACAAAGATTCCAGCAGCTAAGGGCTTTTAACAGTAATAATTAAATGCCGTTTTTTAACAAATGTTCTGGAGGCATGACAACAGCCCAGCTCAATCAGACTCAGCTGTCAGTAATGAGCAATCGCTCCTGACAATCCATTCCTCTCCCAAACGCTATAAATATCTTGGAGATCCCCACCTCTCTCTCTTGCACGTCTCGTGTATCCTACCTCCACCTCTGCAGCTGCCCCTTGGTCACCCTGCATGGGGGGCCTGGTCTCCTTGTCCCTCTGGTCAGGAGGTCAGCCCTATGCGAAGCGGGTTAAGCCACAATTTCGCTCCACGACGCTTTCATCTTGGGTGTTTGTCATTCCTCCTGAACTTGAACCGGCATCGCTAGAGCTGTAAGGAACAGCCTGGGTCTGTACGGGCCGGTCCATTCACAACGAACACCGGCCGGGACCCGCTGTCGAGCCCAGCTGCAGCTCCCCTCCGCCGGACCCGGAGAAAGCTCTGTGCTTTTCTCCGAGCCTTCCTGGGGTAACAGTCACGCACAGATCGCTGGCTCTGTTCCTGCTCTTTTCCCAAAGCTAGCTCATGACAAGGTAGATGCATTTTTTTTTAAAACAAGCTCAGTTTTAAGGTGAAGTGTCCGTTTTTTTTTTTTTTTTTTCCAACGGAGTTGCAATGAAAGTGAATTTAGCTCGCTGGCACCCGGGAGTGCCCCGCGAGTCTGACCCGGGGCGTCTGGAATTAAACTGTTTGCACTTCGGGGTTGAAACGAATTAATTCAGCTGATGTCTTTGCCCAGGATAATTGCATTATCTGCAAGTCATTTCTCACCTAAACGTGTAGGGAAGTTTATAGAGTATGATATTGATTGGGACCGGTCTGAGGAACGGCGGCATACAATCTAATCAATATGTTGCATAGCTGAGCACAAACGCACTGCACGATCGGAGCGGCTGCAGGAGCCGATGCGCGGTGTGGCAGTGCAATCGGATTGGGTTGCAGGCGTGCAGTTTGCTGACACAGCTGTGGCGTTCGCGCGCCGGGGAGCCCGGCCCGAGCTCGGGAATCCGTACCCTCCCGCCGCGGCGCGTGATGAGATTATCAACATCGACACGCAGACTCCTACAGTACGCATCGGCAGTAATTAAACAGCGGCGCACGGGAAAAAAAAAAAAAATAGTCGTCAGCAGAGCAGGTTGAAATGCGATTATGCCTCAGTACGGTACACCACAGTCTTGTAAAACAGAGGGGAAATTGAATCAAGGCACACAAACGCATCATCCGATACTGTGGACTGCGCGTAGCATGGGGGGGCTGTATTATAACAACCTGCAGGCCCTCCCATATACCCCATTGCGCAGTTTCACGCCAACCCACTCCCCAATTATCCAATTGATGATGAATTGACTCGGTCCAATAATTAAAGCCGCGGTACCGAAGTGCCGCAGTGGATGAGACGGAGGGGGGCGGAGAGCGCCGGGGCCTGCCCCGCTGTCCCGCCTGTCAGCCAGGTTCTGGTTTCGCGTCCGTGTTCCGAAACCGGGGGTTCGTTTTCGCTCGGCTACTGCGGGAGACCCGGGAGAAACTGGTAAAAATCGGATCAGGCGCAGCTGGGGATGACACACGGAGACGTCTTATTAAAAATAAAAGATTCATAACCTCCTCAGAATTTCACACTGTATCGCAGGCGAACTGACATGCTGAGGAGCAGTCCTGACGCGGGCGGACCGCGCTGATTCATATTCGTCTACGGGGGCTCTGCTGTGAGTCCCGGGTCAGTAACAGGTGTGGCCACGGCCGGACGCGGTGACGCCGCACGTCTGGGGCTCCTGCTCCGCAGCGGGGGTGCGGGCGCTGGCTGGTGGGGTTCTGTCCCCTTCCTCTCCCCCAGCCGGGACCAGCCTGTGCCTGTTCACTGCCCTGGCTCAGCCCACACGCGCTCACAGGGGCTCGAGCCTGGCAAGGACACCCCATCGCCCGCCGGGACAGCTGCTGCTGCTGCTCGAGGGGCACGAGGATGAGTGTGGTCCTGCAGCAGAGCGGACGGGCAGGAGGAGCCCACAGTCCCTGAGCACTGCAGCACCAGCACTAAGGACCCCATCAGTCCCTACAGGCAGAGATCTGTAGCCACCAGCAACTGCTGCCTGTCCACCACAGCTGGAGCTCCCTCTGGACTGGGCTGCTGTG